CTTCATCAAGACCCTGAATGATCGGTTTGAGGCTATTTGTGTTCCTAAAATGAGCAGATGCCATTGGGCTACACTACCACATTACAGGGATGAATGGAGACATTATTGGGGTCCACTCAGCAAGTCGATAAGTAACAGGATGTCAAGTGATCATGTGTCCCCCTCTCTACCTTTCTCCCTTCCTTCCTTCTTCCTTCCTTCCTTCCTTCCTTCCTTCCTTCCTTCCTTCCTTCCTTCTTCTTCCTTCTTCCTTCCTTCCTTCCTTCCTTCCTTCCTTCCTTCCTTCCTTCCTTCCTTCCTTCCTTCCTTCCTTCCTGTCTTCCTTCCTTCCTTCCTTCCTTCCTTCCTTCCTTCCTTCCTTCCTTCCTTCCTCCCTCCCTCCCTCCCTCCCTCCCGCCTTCCCTTCCTTCCTTCCCTTCCTTCTGACGTCACAGTGTTCCAGAGGAAAGCCTGGGATTTTTTCCTGTGATTATCAGCCAGTCAAAAGGCAGTTAAATATATGGGCCCTCAAACACAAGGTTTCTTTGGCACTCTGGTTCCAGAGATTACCTGGGCAACCATGAGCAGTGGTGGTGGTGTCTCCTGGGTTGCACTTAGTGATTTTTGGAGAACCATAAGTTGCCATGGTTTGTACTGGTGTTAGCTGCATGCAAGGCATGTACCTCAATCTCTGTACTATCACTCTAGTCTCTCTTACATGTGATTGATTTACTTAACAAACAATAAAGACTGAGCATTATCTCACCCAAAATTTAAAAAGGTAAATCTTACTTCTATACTGATATTACTCTTAGAGGAAACTGCATCTTGGATAATAAAACCTTCAAAGGAACAAAAACCTATTGGTAGTTGTTGAAGACTTTTCAGAGTCTCAAAGAGAGAAAACAAACCTGCGTTTGCATTAGCTACTATTCATTTTGCAGCCATGGAATCTCTTGGTTTTCACATTTCCATATTTTCACCACACATTAACAAGCATAAGGAAAAATGTTAAATGTGAAAACAGTTCGATATTTGTCAATAGAAAGGATGCTTCGGAAAAGCTTCCTGCCACACTGATTCACAGAGTGCTGACTTACATGATTTCATAAATTCGGTTACCTACTTGCGAAGTTATCTGGTGCTTAAAATGTAATAAGAGTTGGAGGCTTTTTTCTTTGTTTTCACTGTGAAAAACTGTGTTTCCTTTAGAGGAGCTCACAATTTATATACTGAAAATATATAAAAGAATTATGTGTCAACAAAATGGTGTTTAAGGTTTTAAATCATCCTAACAGTCAGCCCTGAGACTTCCTCACTAGACATCTCAGAGACTTTATGAAAGTTTTATTCTACAATTCCCTGCTTGCCTTTACTCTTAGCTGCTTCTTCCAGCTATTCATATGGTTTGAAAAATAGGGTTTATATGCTTTAAGTTGCAAGGCATTTAGAATTTTCATAATCTCTTTATTGTGGTTGAAACAGTCAAAATATGAAGTGTACTGTTGATAATATTTCACTGTTCTCTTGCTAGATTAACTAGGGCAAGATGCTAACATTTGTGGCATATTTTAAAGAAAACTTGTGCTCCATTTTTAAAAGAAAACTTTTGTCATAAGCAATATTAAAATAATAAAATTAGTTTGAACATTTAGCAAAGATCATGGAACAGGGTAGTAATAATAGAATAGAGACATTAAACTCAGTTCTTCAGATTCAGAATTTAACCTTGTTACTTTACTATCTTTTATAAGATACGGTAATATATTAAGCACCTCATGTACAATCAATAAGTCTTTGTTTAGTCTATAGAAGTATATCTCAATCTTCACATAGCTAAATGTCAGATGCAGCTATCTACATGATAAAAGGTAGGTAGAAAAATTTCCACTGCAAGGACTGGGGGATAGTATAGAGGGTAGAGCACTTGCCCTGCATGCAGCCAACCCAGGTTTGATCTCTGGTACCACATATGTTATCCCAAGCCCACCAGGACCAATCTCTAAGAACAGAGTCAGGAGTAAGTCCTGAATAAAACCAGGTGTGTCCCTAAAATAAACAAAAAATTCCCTTGCATATTACCCATTAAAAATTAAATATCTTGGGCTGGCGAGGTAATCCAAAGGGCTGAAATACATGCTTAAATTGGGGAAGCCCTAGTCTTGATCTCAAGTACCACATGATTCCCTGAGCAATTTTGGGAGTGGTTGCTAAGCAATGCTGTATATGTGTTTGCAAACATATACACAGAAAGAAATATCTTTAAGATTTCAAGAAATCAGTTATATGCCCTTTTGTTTTATATAACTTGTTTTATAGTTACCCTAAGTTTATTCTAACAATGTATGTCCCTAAAGACTGTTGCTTAGTTAGTATCTCATTGATGGATTTGAATACATATTTTGTTTAATGATTACTACATTCCAGATATTATATCTGTTCTTTACCCTCAGGAAACTTAGAGTCCACCAGTAAAAGCTAAATGAAAGAGGTACATTCAGTAATGTTTTAATTAGACCACTTTACTTACAGGAGTTAGTCCATATTTCTTTATAGTTAAAGAGATTATAGAGATTATTAGAGGAAGAAATGACCACAATAGCTCAGAGAAAGCTGATTCGTTTACCTTTAGAAAAAGCAAGAATTGAAATAGTTCTATCTCTAGGGGGTCCTGGGATTTCAGTAGTTTCAGAGCAGGGACTCAGGATTTTTTCTATGCTCTCTCCACTTAAGTTACATCTTAACTTCTGCTTACTTGTGTTTTATGGTTTTTAAAAATTACTTCTTGTAAGAACTTAAAATGATTTTTCTTTATATAATGACCTTCAAAATGTGGCTGTTACTTATAACTTATCTTCTGTATTCCTTCATTCAAAACACTTACAAGCATAATAGAACTTTCTCTCTTATGGTGTATTATATTATTGACCTATGCCTTTGTATTAGGCAGAAAAACCAGAATGAATAATGAAGAGGGGCAGGAAGAAATATGTTTGAAAAACAGAACCATGTACGGTTTAATCTTGAAACTTGAATATTTGAGCACAAAGTACTAAGAAGTATGAGTGGAGGAGTCAGGATTCATGTTCCAATACATTTCAAATGAGAAATCATTATCTCACGCAAGGGAGTTATAAGGTCACATCTCTATTTTAGATAGTGCAGGCAGATAAAAGATATACATGGACAACTGGAGATTGGAGACTGAGAAACAAGAGTGGAGGATGGTCATGTAGGATATTAAAAATATTCTAACTACTGGCAAGGACAGTAGTAGAGCACTTGCCTTGCATATGTGAATTCCTGTATTCAATCCCTAGCAGCACACACACACACACACACACACACACACACACACACACATACACACACACACACACTCAGCAAAAGGGTACCGATAAGAAAGTTTATGTAGGAGTGGAGAGGAAATAATATTTTAAAGAAGCATTTCTTTTTAGACATATAAACATAAAGAAATATAGAATCTAAAATAAAATATTAAGGCATAGTGGGTAAAGGAGAGAAAAAACAAGTTTCTTTTTGACCAAGTTGATGTGTAACATTAGTTGAGATATATAATAAACAAATGAATGTAACTTTGAGAGTGACAGAGGAGCCATTATATTGGACATACCTGGGAATTAAGTATAATGAATTAAATTCCACAGCTGAAGAGGGAGACAATGCTATTATAATTAATGAAGTGATTCAAATAGCTTCTCTTCAAATGGCTGACAAAATACAGTTGGAAGTTAAAGAGATGGGATAAGAACAAGAAAGGAAAATCAAAGATTCATCAAAAAGTTGTGGAGAAAATAATTTGCAATCAGAGCTGACCACCGCACCTGATATACCGGTAACCATGCCCTCCCAACTTAAGACCTTGCAGGATCACTGGTAAAAGTTTTAGCTTTTGACTCTGATATTATAATGAGAGGGTATTCATTACAGTAATAAAGAAAACTGGTTTGAGAAATAAAGCTGTTTATGAATTCTTCAAACTAATACTTACTCTAAGGTGTACTCTTTTGAATATTTTAGGAGGCAAAATTTGCTTATCATTTACAAATAACTGTGATAAATTGGAGAATGATTTAGGAAAATAAGGTAATTAGGAAAAACTGAGGTTGGTAAACAAGGGTACAGGTAGTTCTATCTATTGACAGAATAGTGTAAATGATTGCTTTTCTCTTGGTGCAGTGGTAGTGAGAGATGGATTTTAGTGGACTAAAAATAAATAGGCTTCAAAAGTGTAAAGAGAGCATGCGAAAGTTGGGAGATGATATAGCAGTTAAGGTACATACGTAATATATGCTCTCCTTTGGTTTGATTCCTGGTGCCACATGGTCCACTGAGCATCACTGGGTGCAACCCAGAGGCCTCCAGCACTGCCAGAGTGGTCCACATAATCCTGACCACTACAGGATCCAAGCAGCACTGCTTTCTCTGGGTTTTGCTTGAGAACACTGACCTGGTTGATCAAGAATTGCCGGTGGGAACCTTGGGCTTCCTGAGCACTGCTAGAGGGCCACCTACCCAAAAGAAAGCAAGCACGTAGGTGGCAGGGGGTAAGAGGACAGCTCAGTTGGCAGAGCATATGCTTTGCATACACTGGAACCTAAGTATGAAAACCATTGGCACTACATCTGGCCTCTCCTCACCCATCAGCATCATCAAATGTAGCCCTGGGTTTTCCCACTGCAGGATCTGAGAAGATCCTCTTCCTGGGGCCCTTGAGAAATACCAGATCCAGTTAATTGACTATCACCAGAAATGGTGCCAGAGTCACCTGAACACTTCTTGGGAGACGTCTTCCCTCCCTCACCGTCTCTCAAGAGACTATTCAAATATCAGAATCAAGAAAAGTGTTTCAATGTTTGAGAAGAAGTATAACACAAATTAATAATCAGTGTTTCATCTTCCTGAAATCAGGTTTATTTAGGAATACCTCCTCAATGAAAGTTTCTTGGTTTGTTTCAATATAAATATTCTCTGGATATTATTTAGGTTAATACTAGTCTGTGCTCACTTCAGCAGCATATATACGAAAATTGGAATGATACAGAGAAGATTAGCATGGCACCCATGCAAGGTTAATACTAGTCATAGGCAATAGAACAATCCAAATTAAAATGGCTTTGAAACATAAATAATCCATTATGCTGTTATGCCTTATATAACTAAAAAGTTAAGACCTTAGTTACCCTACCTTGTCTTCAAAAATTTTTAAAAAGTTGTGTTCATTATAGTTTTCAAAATGTTCATCTAATCCTAAGATTGGTTCCTCTTATGATAGTAAGGTAAATACTGATACTGATATAATCCACCCCAAAAGTGGACAACAGAGTCAAATTCCAGCATAGCACTGAGAGTACCTTTTGAAGAAAGCAAGAAAGATTGCAAGTACCCACTACACTGCTCAAGTAGAAGCTGAATATTTTGGGAGGTTTAGAGAGCCACTCATTTTTTTGCCTAAGCTTCCTGAAGGTTAAAGAACTCACCTCAGAAACAGATTAGGAACTAGATTTTCTCATGGAGTCCTGGGCCTGAGAAAACCAGGGCTGGCTGATAGTTATTTCAGAGTTCCATGATAGAATGAACCAGCCCCAGAGCTTGTACCTTCTCATTTCATTCTGTGTAAGAAATGAAATCAGTGAGTCAGTCCCATTTATACTTTGTCTGAAGATGCCCTGATGACAATTCGGTTCTTGAATGTGGTACTTAGATGTGGCAGAACTCAGGGCCATCAAGGCTATTTTTGTTGTGTTCACCAGGAATCATGGGGTATCTGGATTGGATTTTAGTTTTCTTACATGCTAAGTATATGCTCTACCATTTGAGCTAAGTCCCTGGCTCTGTTCAAAGACATTTTAGGGAGCATCTATTATATGCAACATGCTGCAGCACTGTAGCATTGTCACCCCATTGTTCACTGATTTGCTCGAGCGGGCACCAGTAACATTCTCCATTGTGAAACTTGTTGTTACTGTTTTTGGCATATTGAATATGCGAAGGGGAGATTGCCAGGCTTGCCATGTGGGCAGGATACTCTCGGTAGCTTGCTGGGCTCTCCGAGAGGGATGGAGGAATCGAACCTGGGTCAGTCACTTGCAAGGCAAACGCTCTACCCGCTGTGCTGCAAAATTATTTATATTATATTCTACACTAATTTTTTAATGTTAGACAGAAAGGAACATGACTTTTCCATATTTGAACAACTTTTCTTTAAGGTAATGTAAACTAGAGAGAGAGAAAGATTGAATAGTGGATAAATAGATAGGATAAAACTTCTTAGTAGTCTACCCAAACTGCATAATTCTGAGCTATCTAAGCTCTTTTCCCACCACTCTTTCTTCTTACTCAGTTGCTACAATGGTCATGACCAAAGCAACCAGAGAAAGGATTTATGCATAGATAAGTCTAAGAAGTGAGGACAAGAACAATAGTACAGTGGGCAAGGCTCTTGCCTTGCACAACCTACCTGTGTTTGATCTCTGGGACCCCATATGGCCTCTTGAGTGTCACCAGAATGATACCTGAGCACAAGTGAGAAGTCTGCCTTGAGAACTGCTGGGTGTGACCCCCAAACTAAACAAAAAACAGTCAAAGAAATGATTGGAATGGCCCCCTCTTTCTCATCAAGTGGGGCTGCTAAAGAAAAATATTGTTTTATTTTGTTTTGTTACTATCTCTTCTGCCCTGTAAACTACACTCTTCCTCAAAGGGCTGTTACTAGTCTCGGGGGGAAAGGAGCTCACCTTTAAGAAACTGAAACTTACCCTCTTGAACAGGTGCAAGGGCAAGATGACTATTTTGAGGCCACGCCTGGCAGTGTTCAGAACATACTTCTGGCTCTGCACTCAGGAATCACTCACAGCATGATGGGGGACCTCATAGAATGCTGAGGATATCACCCAGGCAAGATACGTGCGAGGCAAGGGCCTTACCTACTGTTGTATTTCTCTGGCCTATCAGAACCCGTTGTTAAGACCCAGATGTTCAAAGTCATTTCAATACAAGAAGCACTAGTAGGCAGAACCAGAGAGAACTTTTCTAACCAAAAATGACTTTCTGTAGAGAGGTTATAGCCAGGGAAGCTGTATGCAGTGGGATCCTTTGCAGAAGACTAAAATAATCTAAAAAGAAATCCCACCTTTTTGTTATGTTCAGAATGACTTCTACACAGTTATGCTTTAATAGAGAATAGGACACAAAAAAACCGCTTTTCTGATTTCTAATGGTACCATCTAATGCAACTTTAGCTCTTTAGATGTGTTTTCTCAGATTCTTTTAAATCTTTTTGCTACTGTAGTACATTTAAACATCAGCAGATGGGGCCCTTGGTTCCTCTGAAGAATGTGAGGGCTTGAATTTTGTTAGTTGTGGTCCGCATGAGGTTTTTTTTTTTTTTTTTGCTTTTACAGCATGTTAAATTTGCACACTCCTTATAATTCACAGACCTCTAATCAAGAAAAATAAAACTCATTAATGACAAGAAATTCTTTTTCCCTCCTTCCATCATTCAATAGAAATATGCGACATCTATTTACAAGTGGAAAAATGAGTAGAGCCTAATAACTAGACACAGGCAGCTTTGAAAAGGGCAAGAGAAGTCAATGTCAAAATTAATCTCTTGTCCTTAACTTGGAAAACTATGTGGGAAGCATTTCCTGTTTGGGATCACAAGTGACAGACAGGTTGCATCCAAGTTACCCTGATTCTGCATTATTTCTGCCCTCTCTCCTGAATTTCATTTTAGAAAGCATTGTGTGAATTGGCTGGCTTTAGCACTCAACAATGAACATGATTTTTTTAAAGCAACGTTTGTCGATAGTTCATAAAGAGAACAACCAGTCATCTGGCCCTTGCACCTGTTCAAGTGGCTAAATTTCAGCTTCTTAAAGGTGAGCCTCTTTCCCCCGAGACATGTAACAGCCCTTTGAGGAAGAGTGTAGTTTACAGGGCAGAAGAGATAGTAGCTTTCAGTACTCATCAGTCCTCTTTTAATTTTCTGCTTGGCTTTTTAACGTGACCTCGCTCTGAGAATTAACCACTGTTTCTCTTGTCTTCCCCAGATGGGATGACCCAGAATTTTATTTTTGAAAAACTACTGTGAGAATCCCAGAGCAAAAATGTTTCCTGCGTGCAAAATTTGACTATGTAAATACTTATTTCAATGTGCTTACTGCTTCTCCTAATAGTATGATTTAATTGATAGATTGAAGGCATCTTCCTTAGTGTAATTAATATTTGTGTAGTAAATAAGCTAATCTTATGCTTGGACAGATCTTAATAGCAGATTTAAGACACAGAAAGAAACTGAGGGTATATCAACTGATAGAAGAGATAAAACTGAGCTTTCTTTATGTCATTATTCTGGGTTTAAACAAATAAGTTTATTTTCAACATTATTGCAACCTCTTAAGAGCTGATGTTTTTATCTTGAAAGACCGTCTATTTATTTTAAGGTATATTACAGATCACACTCGTTTCCAAATTCAGGTCTTGAATAGCTCATAAATCTCCGAGAACAATGTGTCTTCATTGATAACATTCTCTATATTTTTATAAATTTGCAACCTAATGCGGCAAATTGGGATGCAGTTTGCAGATTTAGAATTTACCGAGTTTATACTGATAAAACTAATGTATTACTTCTGGGTAGAGATGTTTGCCTATGGTTAGCCTGAAGCAAATTTTAGGGAAGAATTTTCATTTCTTCCCTCCTTTTGTGCTGACATGCTAAGTGATATATACAGAAATTGTGTGCACTACTTGTGCCCCAGTCTGAAGAACTGCTTGTGGGCAAATTTCATTAGTACTTGATTAGTACTTGTGCTAATTAAGCCAGGCACAATTTTGCCTCCAGTCGTAGTATGATGAGTTAAGGCTGGACTGGAAATGTGGCCCTAAATGCATATGCTGGAAACCTATAAAGCCCATATAATCCCATAGAGAATTCTCACTTGACTCCCCATTAAGGGTCTGAAAAAGTGGAACAGAGCTCTCTGTTTCCAGTGCAATTTGAGTTCACCCAGATATGTGATATGCTAATGTTTAGATTAAGCAGATGGCAAGGAAGGCAGTTGTTAGTTGAGGATTGTTTTTCCCTTTCTGCATATTATTTTCAAACAAACAGCTTAAGAGGTAAGATACTCTATCTCCTCCCTTTGCTTCCTCTTGAATAAAAAAAAGTCAGAAATTCCTGTTGTTTTATCATCTCTCTGGGCAGTATACACGTATTATTTAGGATATGGTATAAGAGTGGCATCTACTATTTTGATTCCTTTTTTTTTTTTGCTTCTTATATTATTTCAAAGGAAAGGGAAAAAGAGCCTCACCCAGGCAAAGAGGGGAGAGGAGGTGAATTTGGAAACAAAAGCGGCTTGAAAAAGAACAGATGTTAGGCCTCCATCTGCATCTCTAATTTCTCCTCAGGGCTTGGCTATACTAGCCCTGATTCTTCTACTTTTTTGTGGTTCTCCTCCTCTTCCTCCTGCCTTTTCCAAAAACTCTTAATCTTCACACTACTTCCTTGAGGTTTTAAAGTTCTCCACATTTGTTCTTTCTATAAACTGTGACAGGACATTGTAATAACATTTCAAAAAAATAATACCTTTCATAACCTTCAGAATTCAAACTAGCCTTGTCTCATAAATGAAAAGGTGGTGTTTTAAATATCAGGTTCTATCATCTATAGAATCATACGATTTTATAGTTAGCTTTAGACATTTCAGCTTTCTTTCACTCTACCTCACATCTGTAGAGAGGTGCTAGGGAGCAAACTTAAGGCCCCCTACACGTTAAACTTGTGTTGCACTGTAGAGCTATAATCCCCAACTGAAATTTTCAGTGAGACTTTCTTAAGATTTTGAAGTTGTGGGAAAAGACAGAAATTAAAACAAATGAAGCAGAAACAAAAAAAAAATATACAGAGATGAAAAAGTTTTAGGAAATTTAGGGTGAGGAGGAAAATTCTTTCTACTCTCTTGGTTCTTCTCTGACCATTGAGTCATCAAATTTTTAATTTCAGATTTTTAGGAGAAAAACACTTTTAATTACATATGGGCAATCTACATAACTGAATTTCAGCCCCAATGAGGAGGAATGGGGACATGTATTCCTTTA